GTTTTTAATAAAAGTTGTACTACCCTTGTACACTGAAACAAATAAATTTTTATCATGAAAACACAATCATTACTGCTAATTCCAAGAATAAATGAACTTTTATTTACATTCTATAACTTTTTTTACATTCAGATTTAAAAATAAATAATAAACAGTCCAAATTTAATCTGAACTTGTATTCTGTTATTATAAGCAGTTGTTTTCACCCTTGGTTATGTAATAGCTCAAAATTGGAATTTGTTTTTACAGTTGTACAATCTTTCTTAATTAACCATTAAGAACAAAAGGTAATAAATTACAAGTAAAACTGTATTTTTTAAATGGATAAAATTTACTGTTATGAAGTTTTATTTTTTCTGTTTTATTTTACTTGTATTGTTTTTGTCTGGCGCCCTCCAGCTGTAATATTACTGTTTTTTTTTTTTTAAAGTTATTTTACAGTGTTCATGTTGGGTTTGTTAGACGTGTTGTTTGATTTAACTCGGCTTTCTCCCTCGGCCGACGGTCAGAAGGTGTTAATTTTGTAAGTGCTTGGTTTTTGTGTTTTTTTTGAACTGCTGCAGCTCTCTATAGCTCAAGTTGGGTTAATTGGGAAACAAGTAAACTCTTCAAGTAGGGTTTTGTTGAATGTTTTGACATGCACGTCGGCGCTCTTCCTAATTTCCTTCTGACTGTTGACAGAGCTCCACGAGAAACCTCCCGAACGAGGAAAGCCGTGCAATGGATAGAACCTGTGAAACGTTAATGTATATCAAGAAAGTGACTCGATGGCCCTTCACCGTGCATTGTTACTGTTCACCTAAACCAAGACCTGTGTAAGTTTATCTTTCAACTAACTACAATAATAATAACTTGGAAGGATACATTCTTTTCTTCTATTTCCGCTTCAAAGAAGAACACTAATGAACCATGAACCTGTAATCAATTATTTGATCTTAAATTTCGTTTAACAAATAGCAAAGGGTACATTAACAAATGCTTTTAAATTATTGATTGTAATTGGATTAGAATTTGAAGATTGTTAATTAAAGTTTATTTAAATGCGTGCCACAACTTAACTGCTTAGTAAGATGAAATAAAAGGTTATTTTTTTTAAAAATGTTTGTAGATTCCTTTTAAAGTTATGGAAGGAAAGAAAGTTTTTGAAGTGTACTAACGAGACTGGGAAAAAAACCATTTTTGTAACAAAAAACCAGCTTAAAAAGTCCTAAGAAAAGCCAACCAGTAAAATAATAGGACTATACGTGAAAAAACTTAAAGTTTAGGTAGCCAGTAAATAAGAAATAAATTTTTGAAAAACTAAAAGTAATTTTAAAAAAAATGGTTAAAAAAAGCTTTTAAAAGTAACAGACAAATAGTTGCAAATGTGCGTCTTCTACCTTTCTTCCATGTTACAGTAAAGCGAGTCCAACATGGAACCTCCCCCGGAACTTCACAGCTTCGAGCTTTTATTTAAACTGAATGAAACATGTAACCCAATAACGAACGATTTGCTTCAAGTCGTCAAACCTCAGACCACCACCTGTGGGTATATCCAGCCAGAAAGGGTGCGGGTAAAACTAATTCAGCTTTTACACAGTTTAAACAAATGCTTTTTTTTCAATGAAATTTCAGTATCATATGAATAATATGCCAAACAGTCACAGTTTTTTTTAACTTTACACTAACTTCGTGAATCGTTTCCTGTGAGTAATTCCTATCCAGGGTGTTTTACCAACGTGAAGTGGAAAGTAATCCCTGTTTCAAGGGTTCCAGTCTGTTGTTGACTTAAACTCTTCGACGCTCAGACACAAACCTTTTGTTTTGCCATGGGTGTGGAATGACAAGAATGGAAATTCTTTGTTTGCAGCAGAAGAAATGAATTCCTTGCTTTCTTGTTTTTCTCCAGAACAGAAAAAAGTTTAGAAACAGTGGGGAATTTTTGCAATGTGCTGGCGATTGGTTGGTTCCAGCGGAGGTTGTTGCGAAAAGGTTTCTTCTTGTAACATAAAAAAAAAAAACAGTAAATTTCTCTGTCAATGAGAAAGTTTTATTGAGTCCAATAAATGAAAAGGCTCGGTCCTTACGATTGTTTCCGGCTCGTTTCCTCTAATGCTGTTTTCCAACCTGCACACATCCCTTCAACACACCACGTCAGGTGTTTTACCTGAGAAAGTGGTTTTTTAGCAAAATACAAACGTGTTTGTGTTTTGGTGTGTGGTGTTTGTTGTGTTGGTGTTTTGTTTTGTGTTGGTGTTGTGGAGTTTGTGTGATGCTTTGTAAGCATGTTTTTGCGCGTCCAGCCGCAGCCGCAAAAAAGGTTAAGAGAGTTAGAACATGTTTAAATGAAGCCTGAAACTTGGTTTAGAAATTTTTCGAAAAAAGCTTAAAACTTGTAAAAAATGGTTCCAAAAAATGTAAAAGTAAATGAGGAACGTTTTGTTTTGTGGTTTCTTCGCTATCGAAACTTTCCAACAAATTTTTCAAGACTTTAATTATCGACTGGATGCTCCATTGTTGTTTAAGAATAAATCAACAAATCAGAATGGTCCACAGTCACAAACAGTTTTTTTTAAACTCATGAAAATATGTAATTAACACATCCGAATTTAAGAACTTGTAAAAATTATCCACCAGGAACAAACGTTTGTTTCCTTAGTTTGGCATCAAACGATGAAAGCGCACACACATTCGATTTCATGGAAACGACAAGAAATAAAAAAGTTGAAACAAGAAAGTTGCAGCGTGATTTCCAACATGAATTAAAATATTCCAATACAAGAATAACTGGTAGATACAACCAGAAAGGACACAAATGGAATTATCTTCTTGTGATTTTCCCTCAGGAAAAGAGAGAGAATAAGCATAATTGGTAAGGTGTCACATACAATAGTTAATTAAGTTAAAAACAATGCGCGCGCCGCGCCAATAAGTGAACTATATATTTTCACAGTAATGACTTATTATTAAAGTTCTAATATTTGACTATAGTCTAGACTAACTATTATGTTATGAATTACCAATTCAGTGGTATAATATACGGAAGGTATATCTATAATATAGCTTATATGTTGATCATTGACGGTAGGTGATAAAAGCTTCAGTCGTCTGCACTTTGGTGTTATTTAGCTCTTCTGGTGTTCTGCAAGATAACAACGTCGGTGCGTGAATCTCACCTCGTCGGAGCCTGACTCCTCCTACTTTCCTGGTGTGGAACTGGAGGTGGCCAGGGCTTTGGGTTCAGGCTTCCAGCTGCTGCTGACGGTTTTGGACGGGACGCCGGAGATGGAGTACGGTAAAGAGACCCCTCACCATCGGCGGTGACCGTCACAGCGTGTCGGTTGACGGACCTGACCACGAATTATATGCTCGCATTGAATATAGTTGGAAACGCCTCCTACGTGTTCGAGCGACGAACACACACACACGACACACGACCTCATTTATCACTTCACCATGGAACTTTTCTGGGCCCCGCCGACCATTGGGGTTCAACTGCTTCGGACAGTTTCAATCAGAGGAAGATTTATTAGTTATTAGATTTATTAGTTTAGAATTTATTGTTTTTAGATTATTGTTTTTGATGACACCAGGACTGACGTCACTACCATGTTCATGTATAATAGTACATTAAAGTATAATCTTGGTTAGTACAAATTTGATCTTTTTCTTATTTCGCAGGTTTCGATGCTGTGCTTCTATTTCTACTGGGGGTTCACTCCTCCCTTCCGCCTTACAAATATGAGGTAGGATGGACATTCTACTGACAGAAATACAATAAACTCACTCAAAATTGTTTTTTAAGCTTTAACGATCGCTAACTCTGGTGTTTTGGTGGAAATAAATCCTTAATTCACCGTGAACGTAGATATAACAGCAGTTTCCGAGTTCGGAGGCAGTCCGGCTATGGAAATCAAACCTACATAGAGGCAGCGCATACAACAACAAGGCCAGAGAGAGGGAGGACGCCCACATTGTCACTCTGTGTCTGTATAAGAGAATAACTGTTTTCCTATATTCTGTGTATATCCTTTGATAGTGAGTGAAGCAGCAGATAGATCCGTCGCTGAGAGGGAGCTTGACATGGCAGCACGAGCGGGTACGTCAGGACCCCACCAGGTAGCAGAAATGAACGAAACCTAATTCGACATACAGGGCTTCCCAGTCCTGAGCCGTCCTCCCTCGAGCCACCGCGCCGCCGGTCAACGCTGTGACGGAGGGTTCAGAAGGACATCTCTGTGAGTGGACTACAGTGCCGCAGGTGTGTCGCGGGTATCGCATCAGAGGATTACTGCAGCATGTATTCTCTGGGCTACCGACTGAACACTAGAGTATAAAACATAATACTAGGTTTATAAGTTTATGCATTTTATTATTAATATTATATAAATTGCAAAATATCCAGTGCAATTTATTCTATATGTAAAAATAAACCGTACTGTAAAGGAACATCAATTGCTATTTATTTATAAGAAATGTACTTTTTTCAAAATAAAGATTTTTTGCTATTCGTAAAAT